TTTGTTTGTTTGTTATGGCTGCCTTTTAGGTTTTGCAAACCCAGGCTCTTGGGTTTGCTTGGAGGTAAAAGAAAAAAAGGAAAAAAAAAGGTTGGAGAAAGGAGAAGCCGAGGAAGAAGGTGAGGGTATATCAGTAATTAAAAGTAAAAAATTTAGCATGTCATCGATTTTTGCCACGTGGAAAATCCATGTAATTTAATAAAAAAAAGAAATGAGTGTTTCCATTAATTAACCTGTCATGTCAGCCAAAATTTAACAGAAGGACTAAAAAGGGGCCGGATTTGTGAACAGTAAGGACCAAAAAGGGGATTTTTTTGGTATAGGGACCAAAAAATGACTTTTTCCTATAGTAGAGGGACCAAAAAGGGTATTTAACCATAGAAATATAAGCATTTGACACTTAATTGTTAAACTAAAAATACCTTTTATTTGTCTGGCATTAAGCCACATCCATGTGTATTTACAATATCAATCATCAGTTAATTGATCTAAAAACCAATTCCATGAATCTTTCCACTCAAATTCAACTACTGCAAATGCTAAAGGGTACATATAATGGTTAGGATAAATTGCAACTGCACAGAAAAGTTGTCCCCCAAACATGCCTTTTAAAAAACACCCATCAAGGCAAATGAAAGGTCTACAACCAGCTTTAAAAGCCTTGCTTGATTGGTCCAAGGCAAACATACATGCTTTGAAAAAGTGATGCCTCTGCATGACAAATCATGGTGCTGTCCTAATTCCAACATTTCACTTCATCTATATAGTCATAAATGTATTCAAATTGTTGAATGAAATTTCCATTAAATATTGACTTTGTTATTTCCTTAGCTCTAGAGCATTTTTGGTGATTAACTATGGTGAAAAAGTCTTTTCTAACTGAGCTAGTAGTGCACATGGTGCCCAGTTTGGATCAGCTTTAACATTGTCCAAATAATGTTCTACCAGCCATTGTGTAGAAAAGTTTTTATTCTCTGTCTTTTTCCCACAATTATGCTCATATTTCAAAGTCTTGATTTGCCAAGTTGTGTCTTTTTCTGCCTCACAATCAACGGGTGATGCCCACATTTGCCAAGGACAGTTCTGTTCCTTACAAACTGCCTTAACCCTTTTCTTATCATTCTTTTCAAACTTGACTTCCACCCTATTCATCCTTGCTTCTTATTTAATAGCTTGTTTCAATAACTCCTAACATTCCTATAATCGACTTTGGTTTCTCCATGTCAACACTCTCAGTCAACTCTAGATACCTTCTCTTAGAAGTGCCATCATCATCAAACTCGTATGGGCTATGTAGTTTAGGTGAGTTATCACTATTAGGTCCTTCATTTTTTGGAATATTACTAGTAGGATAACCTTCGATCAAAATTGTAGCCCCACCATCAAGCCTTAGATCCACCTCATCTTCAAAAAAGTCTTCGTAATCCTCTAATTCATTATCACTCTCCCCAAATCTAGATTCTTCATAATCTGGATCTTCATTATCACTATTGTCATTATGTTTATTGTTAACATCATCATTAGCATTGTCAACATTTGTCACGCCCCAAAATCGGGAGTAAAATAGACACTGTACACTTGTGAGAGAATCCCACAAATGCACAAGGTTTGGAACTCACTAAATTCATTACTAATAGTCCAAATAAACTTAGATTAATATTTTAGAAAAGAAAAAGGAAATCTAGCTTACAAAGAATAATCTACAACTCAAAATCTACGTCCGAAATACAATGGCTAGCCTTCTAGCTCGTCACTTCCCTTGGTTTCCCACGTCTTGAGTCTCACTACCTGAAATGGTGGATGAGGAAAAACTCTTTGAGATAACTCAGTAAATAAAAATATGGATAACCCTTAATTAAAACTTATAGCATGCCAACAAGTGTAATCAAGTATCAAGAAAAATGGGTACAAGTGCGGGAATGAAATAGACGTCTCCTCTATAGGTCATGGCCAACATTTATAAACCTCCCACTGGTGGGCACAAGATTTACTAGTGTATAATCCCACTAGCAGGATAACAAGTATAACAAGAATGAACCGATTCCATAAGTAACATGTTGACATGTGCTAGCGTTTATAAACCTCCCATTAGCGGGCACAAGTATTACATGACCACATTGGAGACTAAATGAGGCTAGAAGTACATTTCAAGCAAATTCAGGAAAAAATGTATAACAGAGAGCAGGTAAGATATGTTAAAAACTTTTATAAATAGACTTGCTATTAACATATCTTACTTAACCAAATTCAAATCCAACTCCATAAAATAAGATTTAATCATGGTAGTTAAACAAAAATAGACTTTTAATCCTATCACCATCTCAAAATCAATAAAAGTCATAGTTCAAACTTACATTTCAAAATCAAGGACGAACCATAAATTTACTTATCTCCCCTTATCGTTATAACGAAGCTAGAATTCAAGTCTTAAGGAGGTAAAGTTGTCTTAGAACCTATTTCATATCAAGAACAACAGGATCACAACATGCCTCATTCAACTAAATTAGTCTTTAATTCTAGCACCAAGTTCTAACCCAAAGAAACAATTTCTCCTTATCTCCTCTTGCCATTTCTACCCACCAAAACCTTACTAGCATATGTATATTAATTCACATGCATAGCCTTATTTAAAAATTTTCCCAAATATGATAGTAGGCATTCCAAAAATTTTTGACAAGGGGTAGTGAAATTTTGGTAAATGGCAGGAAGTTTTGGGGAAAACACAACATAAAATAGCAAGGAAAATGCAAAAAAATGCAAAATTTTTTGGATTAAACAATGCAGAAAAACAAGGGAAAGTGTAGGAAAATGCAAAATTTTTTGGGTTAAAACAGTGTAGAAAAATAGCAAGGGAAGGTG